GAGTGGCTAGAACGAGCCACTCAGCCACTCTCCAGAGAGGCTGGACCAGCCACTCAGCCACTCAGCCGCTCTAATAGGTAAGAGTGGCTGGACCAGCCACTCAGCCACTCAATCACTCAGAGTGGCTGAGTGGCTGAGTGGCTGAGTGGCTGCGTCAGCCGCTCTGCCAGAGCGGCTGAGTGGCTGAGTGGCTGGTCCAGCCTCTCTGGCAGAGTGGCTGAGTGGCTGAGTGGCTGCTTCGATTTCGCGAGCCGTGTTGCACATCCACCCTGAAGTCTTGCCACTTGCTAAGATCTCCTTCATGATTTTCAGAACCAAACGGGTCAGGTTGCCTAATGACTGTTGAGGCTTCACTGAACCCCTTTCCACTCAAACCAGTTCCACGACTAGCCTGGGCCTCTCTCAAGACGCGCAGCATCAGTTGCTGCTTGTATCAACTGGGACATGTCCAACGCGCCACCATCAGCGGCCATGCTCCAAGCAAAACTAAGACAACGAAATCCCAAATGGCTCCACTTAACGGCAACGAAAGTTTCCTAGAGTCCAAGTTAGCTTCAGGTGCCCTCACCAGAATAAAGGATCTGGATCACAGGGCTCCGCTACCATGAGCATTTTCCTTGATGCAAAGACGCCTGAAGAATCCATCTGTTTCACAACGGCTTTAAACATGCTATGCAGCTGAAAGTAAAATGTCATCTGACATGAATCAACTGCAATGCAACTGTACGTGTAACTGAAACAGGCAGGTATGGGAACCATGTAATTCCCTTCAGTTTTAAAATTTATTTGCAGTATTTTTTTCTAGCACAGTGTTTGATATACTTTCTCGTCCGCCAGGGAAACACAGGTGAATTTTGATATGCGAGGGTGAAAACCATGCACATGTACAGGTACGGTCTCGCACATGCATTTGTTTGCAAAAACAGAATCAACGATACATCCCACGGCTCTTAATCCAAAACTATAAACAACACCACCTTCTTCACGTGTGCTTGCTTCAGCATGTTCCGCAATCAGTGTGAACATGAGATCAACACGGCATCTTGTGAAACTAAATGAATCTACCTCGATTCTTCGTTTTTAGTTTGCAGGCATTTGCAGGCCATGATGAAATCGGATAGATATGAAGCATGCTGACAATAAGACCAATGATTGCAAGTGGGGCTAACTGGAACATACCAGTGGTATGCCTATATTGCTGTCGGGCTGCATTGGGTGACCTATTAAAGCTCCCAGACGGGGATTGTACCATACTTATCTGCCGACGTTTTCAGTGTATGTCATTTGTATTCATTTGTTATTTTCATTACAACCGTGATGGGTGCCCACTGGTTCCTCGCCAGAACCCTGGTTCCAATGGTTCCAGGAACCAAAGCCTAGTTACCTATGAGAGAGGTACCTAGGAGGGCCTGGGTTTGGTTTTAAAGACCCTTTTCCGGCGGCCATTCAACGTGCAATTGTGTCTTGGACCGGTGCAAGTCATCAAATGCCTATGAAATTTTGGTTGTCGGGTGTGAATATAAACAAATGCGGTATGAGGACCAATGCCACCGGCAAGAGCGAAACCAAAAAAATTAAAAAAATCAAGTGACGCAATCCCCAGAAACAAATGGCGACAATTAACATCAATTAACAATGTAATTTCAAGGATGCCAGCGAGAGCTCGGAGGCTGCATGAGGCTGCCTCCAGCATGGCGTGTGGCTTATAAATTTGATCAAATTTGGTGATATCAATGACATCACTGCGAAAACAGTTCTGCTATGTTCTGCTACTATGTTTGGTCATTGATTAATATTAATTTGTATACCTTTTCTTACTTCAAATGAGTTTGTGTTTCGGGTTTCCAATCGGTATTCGCCGGACAAAAGCTAGCTACCCCAACTTGTGACCCATATATAACCACTTTTAGAAGGCATTGGCCAGCAGAAATTGTCTGGACCAAGATTCCGAACGTCCACGTAGAACACATACACATACACGTATATATACACAATTTTTGTTGATCCACGTTTACAGTTTACAGTGTTTGGGGATACAAGTTGACGTGTTCTGTAAACAGGTTGCTTACATGCATTCTTTGCTTTGTTTATTGGCTTTTAAGGTGCGGGCGATGTGTCTCAACAATTTTCTACAATTTTTTTGCGCCGCCCGTTGGTTCAAGACGTTATTTACTTGGATTCCCACAATCGAAACCAGAACCAGCAGTTTGTGAGACCTTTCTTCGATGACATGGTTGATGATCAACAAATAGGACACACACAAATTTTCACATGACGTGATTAAGAAAACGGATGGAAACGGCCAGCAGCAGCCTTTGAGAAAACAAACCAGACACACCTCCCTACTATTCAAAAATATTTTTGTGCAGACGGGGCTTCCTTTGGACAGACGGGTTCCCTGCGCCGACAGCCGGTACCAACCATGGTTGGGGGCCCAGTTGATCACCGGTGTTGAAACCCAATGATGAAGGTCCAAAACAACTTGACAGATGGAATCAGACTGCCCACTTATATTTTTTTGTGCATGTTGACGTATAATTACCAAAATTAGTTGAAGTGACAATGTACAAGAAACATTTGCAATGCACCTATATTTGACAGTAAAGTATGGTAAGAAACCCATAGGTTCCTGGATTGTTGAACCAACCCGTGGAATGCAAATTCCAGGCTGACCAATCGAAAATGTACCGCTGGGATGGTTCCTTCGACTTCAAGCGGAGGGAAGATTGGGATTACAAGTCCGAAACTCATGGGCTGCTGGTAGGGTCGGCAAGTTGGAGAAATGCCTGATGTTTTGACATGGCCAATATTGGGAACGTTGGGATCGCCCATTTCTAGAGCAGCTATGTTTCGCTAGGCCAGAGTTGCATTCGGTTGCATACCATGGCGTTTTTGTTGTTTGTGTTGGTCCATGTTGGTCCATCCATGTCCATCCGTCACCGGAGGCTGAGCCATGCTGAGGCATTCCTTCAATTTCATGGCGGGATGGCTTGGACAAGACGAAACCAAAGAAGCGCAGAGACGGAAAAAAAAGTCCAGGCCTTGGAGAAATGAAAATGCTGGGCCCCAGATAAACCCATAGGGAGAGCCATCAAAAAAAATACTGGGAAACTAGATATTTCCGGGATCGTTTTTCTTAATTTCGATTTGTGGTATTTATTAATTTGATTTTAATTTGATGCTATTTGGAGGTTGCTGTAATGTGAGATAGTATGAGTTGATTTGAGTGATCTGAGCTGCAGACGTCTTTTGAAAACTAAGCACGGGTTGGTTTCCTCCCTGGTTTCGACGCAATCACAATAAGTTCTGCTGTCAGCGCGGATGTGAATTCCACGTTCATTTCTTGTTGCAGTGGTCAGCCGCGGTGACGCACACATTGACTCGCAGTCTTCTTCGTCTCACTTGACTTTCGATATGGATTATGCATATTTAATATAATATATTATAATTATTTGTAATGAATTGTTTTTCTGAACAACAGTGAGACATTGTGTTCAAATGCAGATGTCAATTGCAAGTCAGAAACCATATCAGGGCAAATGTCGCCAGTCAATATGTCAGAATTGTGTCAGTGCACATGTCAGTCAGTGTGTCAGAATACGCTTCAGTATCTGTGCCAGTCAATATATCGGACCGTTAGTCAATACATTTACCAGTCAATATGCCTCGGCAAAGATCAGTTTGCATGTCAGCACATTTGCCAAAGTTTTTATGCGGCGGGACCCTCTTGAACGGGTGATTTTTTTTCTTGTGTGGTTTCTTTTTTTTTTGTGAGAATTCAGGAACAACAGCCAGATTTCAAGAAGAAGGAAGGGCAGGGGAAGAAGAGGTAGAGAGCGGAGGGAAGAAAGGAAAAAAAACGAAAAGACACGAGGATCATGAAAGAAAGAGGGAATTGCTGCGACACTGCTGCAGCCTCCGTCAACAGCAACAAGTGTTTTTCCCCTGGGCTGCCGCTGCCATCACTTCAACAGTTGTGCCCAGACAACAGCTACCACCACCACCACCACAACTACAAGACCAGGACTTAGCAAAAACAGAAGGAACAAAAAGCGGCACTTATGAATCACACAAAAACAACCCCTAGACCGGAAACTTCGACAAACGCAAAAACAAATCGTTTGAAACAGATATGTTTGATAGGAAGGCATGGGCAGAGATGGCTGGTTTGTATACATGATGCAACAGAATTTAGGATTTTCGTTGCCACGTTCAATTGCTGGGGGGTATTCACAGTTTCAACATGCCTTTTTTAATTCCGTGATTGGTGAATATGGGCCGGGTGCCATTCTAGTTTTTTCCCCTTTTTGTCGACCGCTAGAAATGCATCACTTGGCTGCCTTTTTCAATGATAATCCCCATGGGTAGTGCAACTACAACTATAATTTGGATACTTTGTGGAGGCATCCTGCTTGTCCTGCCCAAAAATAAAGCGTCATTTTGGGCAAGCTGTGTTGCGCAGCAAGAGCCCCATTGCCGGGATCTAAAATGGGGCACCATTGCCCTTGGCAATGAAACTATGTGCCTTTGGAAAAAGGTGACCTGACAAAGAACTTGTTTACAAAGCAGAGTTGGCTAACAAGGTAGGATCCCAGAAGAATCAGCTAGCTTGGCAACCCATGTCTTTTCCCTCCTAACTCAGAGATGCCGAGGGATTTGTAAGAGAGATCAAGAGAGGGCCAGGGCCCCTTAGTGAACCATGAGTCAATTGCTCCTGTCAAACCAGCGGCTTTTTTTCATTCTGAGGATGGGAACGGTTGATGAACAAGCGCCTCCGCTTCCAAAGGCGCATGTGTTTTTTTTTTGTGAGCCATGGGTTGGGATGGTTGGGTATCAGTGGTAGAAATCCCAGAATTCTGATATTGGGTAGATGTGGGTAGTATTGTGGTTAAGCAAGACGGTGCCAATTCAACCGGTCACTCAACGCTTCTTGAAGGACGACAGCTTGGTCGAAACGATCGAAAAGACGGCGAAACATGTGCACAAGTCCATGCCTCAGAATCAGGGCATCCCAAGGTAAAAACTTCCCTGTGTTCATTTGAAGTGATGTGTTGCGGACCATGGAGAAGAATGGAGAAGATACAGACGGTAAGTATGGTGCCTCATGCAACTACAACTGTCCTGCCACTGCTAGATGAAGTTGTGTTTGTCATAATTATTTGACGCGTCAGAATGACATTGCCAGGCGGTTGCTATCACTGCATTTGGGTTTGACACTCTTGTTGGTGACACTCTATTAGAACATAGGTTGACTGCTAGCGATTAACCAGGTGGCAATCCCATGTTCTGCACACACACGTGCCGCCATGTAAACGATCTGAATTCAGGATAGATTGTGATCTTCCCATGCTGCCTATGACACGACCAGGTCGAACGATCCAACGGTTTTCGAGCACTTGGTGCAGGCAACCAGCAACAAACGGCAGATCCTGCATCCCTAGAGGGTAAATTGAGCCATCATGATCCATCAGAAATATAACTGGTTTATTGGGGACTGGGGATTATTGATTATCGGCAATTTACTATTATTATACTAGAATGGGATGGGATACGGGTATCTGTCAATATTCACCCCGCTTCGCGTGGGGTGGCCGCCCACACCGCAGGTTTATTTCGGTCCGTGAGAGGGGCTAAGGGTGGTTTTCCCCCGTGGGGGCTCTTCAAGCTAAGAAGTTTCAATAAGAAATCCTTCCAAAACATTGTTTTTGACAGTGTTTTTCCAATGTTTCCAGTCAAACAGACGGTAATTTACACGTTTTTTGCCATAAAGGCAGTAAATCCTTCCAAAACAGTGCTTTTGACAGTGTTTTTGTAATGTTTCCAGTCAAGCATACGGTAATTTACACGTTTTTTGCTATAACGTCAGTCCAAAACACTTGTTTTTGCAGTGTTTTCAATGCTCTGGCATCCAAAAACCCTGCAAAATCTTGCTATGTACAATGTTTTTTTCATTTTTGGCCGTTTTTCCATTGCCGGAAAGCTACCAAAATGACCCAAAATTCCATTTCAATACCCTCTTGCGCTCAGACACCCAAAAATCCTCGAAAAATGTCGAAAACACCACCGTATTCTGGTCTCGGTGCGAAACCGTTTTTGGGGTCTGGTCTCGGTGCGAAACCGTTTTTGGGCCCCCCCCCCCCCAGCTAAAGCTGATATAGCGACTGCTATATTAACAAATGTCATTGAGCATTTAGTGTTGCTGTTGCCCCCCAATAAGCACGCCTTCACCGCCAAAGCGGTGTGGGCGGATTTTGTTTTATGGTTCAGTTGGTGACCAGCCAGTTTGCGTGGCACCATCAGGAGAAGAACAAGGGCAGATCCGGATGGGACTTCCTTCGAGAAGGTGGTGAAGGCATGATCTAATCTGGCCGCGACTGGATTAGTTTGGAGCCAGTTGGACTTATCACATTGTCTTACAGTCACTTGGATCGTCAAGGTCAGTTACTTGGAAGATACTATAGGATCGTCAAGGTCAGCTATATAATATATACATCAAGGATCGTCAAGGTCAGCTATATAATATATACATCAAGGATCGTCAAGGTCAGTTACTTGGAATGGCATATAGCCGGATCATTACGGGAACTATACAGACCACCTGAAATCAGCAGGCCATTCAAATTGGAAGGGTTGCTGCTTTGGAGGTCGTGACTACTACCTTTTCTGCCTGCACTGTTGTGAACGCGAGGCTGGCACTGGTCAGATTGTGCACATGTCATCATGTCGTTCTTGTTGACCGGCTCTCTTTGTGGGAGGTTGATCCCAGACCGATGGCATTACATGCCCGAAAAGTGAAAGAAGACCGGGAATTGAAGCAGGCCAGAGTTTTGCCACAAGTCATATCGTTTTTGGATCTTTTTTGGGAATGTATATTGTATATGTAAATAGAAGTTTGGTGGCAAGAAGGATACGATCAAAAACTATGCAACGCGACAAACGTGAGTAGAATCAAACGGGTTTACTGCAAACCCGCTGAGATGATCTGAGGGTTTGGGATAGGGATGCTGACCTCTGCAAGGCAAATGCGAAAGCCAACGTTTTCACTGGGTATCAAGGCGGATCGTTTGGTTTTGGCCCTGTTTGGCCAACGAAATCCTGCGATAGAGATGTGTTTGCACATGTTTGCATTAATGGCACAAACAGATCAGAAATGAAAGTGACCCTCGCAGGATAGGAAGACTCACCTTGTTTCTAGCTTTCACCTGCCTGGGACAGTTACACGATTACACTTTCGTACTTGCAGCATCTTGCAGCCATTGCTTTGCGCTAAAATCAAGATACCCCAGGACCCTAGAGACATTTCAAGCTCGTGACAGCAGCGGAGCACGGGAGGGATGATGTGCAACGATACGCACCAACTGCCTTTGTTCTGTTTCAACCAAATGACCAGATACTCAGACAACTCAGATCCCCTGAGCAGTCTTAAAAACCGCAAGGTTTACAGTACCATCTCCGACCATATCCAGAGGTTCACAGATGTTCACAGCACTTTCCAGTCATCTTAATCATCTTCACTTTGAATTTCTTCATCATCCCATGGTCATTTCATCCCATTTTTCCCATGGTGGAGCCCCCATCCCCCGGTGGTGCCACCGGTGCCGGTCACCGCGGCGCCTACTTCGCCGCGCTGCTGGCGTCGAGCGACGCCCTGCGGCTGACCTCGGGCACCGAGGGCCTGGGCCTGGCGCTGCGCCGCGCCGCGTCGACGGCGGAGGAGATCTACCGGGGCCGGGCGCTGGCGGTGCATCGCCATGACGCCAGGTGTGAGGAGGTGGAGGCCATCTGCAAGGCACTGAAGTAAACAACCAGGGCTTGATTACTGCTTGATATAGATCTGGATGGTTCATTCATGGTTCATTCTAATGTCAATTAATGTCATTTTAATTTAATAGTTCACTTTTTTTTGAAGCTGAAAGTGAATGAACGTGTTCTTTCGGAGATGTATTGGATGAAATTTCATGTTTGTTCGGGGATGGGGGTGTGATTGAATGGGATGCAGGTTGGATTTGTAAGATGTGAAGCAGATGCAATCCTTACAATGTCAAAGAATGTCAAAGAATCAGTGTGAAACAGAAGGGAGGAGACCTCATGGGTACACCCTGATGCGAGGCACGTCCATGTTTTCTTCCACCCTCTTGCTACTGCGCTGCTCTGAGCTCGTTGCTGCAAAGCACGGCCGAAAGTGACCTCCTGCACAGCCTGCTGTCGCTGTCCAAACCTGATCGCATTGCCCGGCGGGCGCCGGGAATCAGCAGTGGCGACACTGGTCCATGTGACATCACTGCGCGAGAGATACTGCGACAGTCGCTGGTTGGTGGTAGTGTCATTTTTTCTAAACTTCCATCCCTAGTTATTACAGGGAAACATGGAGCAAAATGGTGCCAGTTGATCATTTTTCTGGGAGATGGGTTGAAACGTGTGAAAACCAGCACCCAGGTCAGATCTGGCAGAAGACCTACTTCCACTCTACAGCGACCTGGCGCGAATCTGGAAATACAACGCCTTTGATACTGGAGATGGACGAATGGCCATCTTTCTTCTGCCCTCCTTGTGCAATCATAGCTGTTTGCCCGCTGCGGAGTACACCTTGTGTGACTTCCTTCGCAGTTTCCAACGCATCTTTTGACCTATCCATGTTTTTGAACGTTCAGTCACCCCGTGGGATCACTTCAAGATTTCGATGGAAAATTGCCCTCGCATGAACAATCATTATATTTAAGGGCTGCCGCCCCTGCCGCCGACCCCGGAAGTAACTCGTGGTGCCAGCTAGCAAGAGAAAAAGTGAGAAATATGTAAGGCAAGGAAGCTACGGCATTGCACACGTCCTCCTAAAAGATGCAATACCATTGAGTAGAACTCTCCACACTTCCTCTTTCAAGTGCCCCAACAACAGAAAGTGTTGTGTCCTTGTAGGCAGCGAGGCATGTTTAAGACTCTCTAAGTGTCATTCTGGTCTGATTTGGACGTGTTGCGAGTGTCATCCAATGGCAATGATAAGAATCTCACCTTGCTCATTTGGTCCAGTGTACATCGATCGATTGGAACAAAATACAGCAAATCTCCGGAGAGGAATTTAGCGGCTGTTTCGGCCGTGCTTGCTGTGCAATTTCTGGTCCGAAAGTGTTTTTATTGACGCTGGCAGTGGGTCCCCCGCGCGGAAGCTCAGACTAGAAAAGTTGGTGACCGGGTAATCAAAAGATGGTAAAGTGGTAGCTTCAGTGGTAACCTTGGTAACCTCGATAAGAAGTATAAGTATGTGTACTGTATAGTGTAACATCAGATGCATCAAGACCTTTGTGCTTGCAGTGCTCGATCATAGAAATTGTCTGTTTGCCTCAAAGTGGGTCTCGTTTGGCAATGATGTTGAGACAGGTTGAGAAATGTTGAGACGATGGTTTGTGGTAAGACTTGTCTTTCAAATTGCTCGTTGGCTGCGCCTCTGTGTCTTGTTGGTTCGCGGATCTCGCATGTGACAGATTGCCATTGCTTACACTTATGTGGTCACATCGTGTGCAAACTCGTTTTGAGGTGCAGCGCAGAATGGCATGACCAACACAGATCGAACGGGCGGGTCAGACGAGGACAGCCGGAGGTATTGATTTGACAAACTTGTTGCAGAGTCAAGTTGCAACAGCCAGAGGTTCAGAGGACCTCCCTTGGAACATACATAGATAGATAGATAGAGAGATAGAGAGATAGAGAGATAGATAGAGAGATAGAGAGATAGAGAGATAGATAGATAGATAGATAGATAGATAGAGAGATAGAGAGAGAGATAGAGAGATAGAGAGATAGATAGATAGATAGATAGATAGGTAGGTAGATGAAAATCCCCCATTTCTCCATGATCCGACTAGAAGTCTCCATTTTGATTGGGGATTAGCCAGCCATCTGTGATTTCGTGATGCCCACTAAAAATCACTGGTATGGCTGGGAGAAGGTATCCCTGACAGTTTTTATTGTGTAATTCCGAAGGTCTTGCAGGTTAGTTCAACTCTGCCCCCTGTCGACTGTAAACCTAATCTTCCCAAAGCAGCTGTCGCCCACGTTTTTTCGCTGGGTGCAGGTATGAAGTGTAGATATTGGCCAGCTCTTGTACGAGTTGAAACCTCAGCAGTGACTAGTTGACTCTGAGTTGCTTCATGATATAATTCTTGGAAGAAGAGAGAATTAAAAGACACATCCGAGTAAAATAGTGATAAGTTCCGTTTCCATCTTTTTTGCAATTTGTGTTGGCAAGTATCATAATCCAACTGCAGAGAGTGGTGAAAGTCTTGTCTTGAAGCACGATCCATGGCTGTTTAGAAAGTATAGAATTGAGAGCATCAAATGCAGATCTCATGTATAAATGTCAGCTTGTGATATCCAGCTTGAGTACAGATAGATAGATAGATAGATAGATACATAGACGTGTCTAGTGCAAGTGCATTTGGCTCTAGTGTTGTTTTCAGAGTGGCGTGGATTGTATGGCGTCCGTCGGGTATACTGTGCATTTAACGGCACCACGATGCTTGGAAAGTGGTGCAGCGCATCGTGAAGCTGCTGAGATGGTACGAGAGGTACTCAGCGCAGGGACGGACGTTGCTTGGTGGGAATAGAAGTTTAATGAAGTTTATGATGTTTGATGTTAAGGGTTAACAGTTAATGCTGGTGACAGTCCGGCTGTAAAAGAGACGTCTGTGAACGGTTTTTGTGGTGCTGAGAATCAACAGGGGGCAGGAAATTGGATCTGCTTGTAAGGAGTGCATCATCAAGATCCGTGCTCGCTCCCGGCGATTAGTCTATGTGGTTTCAGTGCAGGCGAGCACGGTCCTAGAAGAGGAATTGGGTCGCTTGGGCGAAGTCAAGAAGCTCGACAGTGAAGATCAGAAGGAACAGGTTGCTTGACAGACAGTAGCAAGGGGTAGAACAATTTTGTGAGGTGGTTTCCAGTAGTTTTCAGTGTGTTTGGATTTTGACAGGTTAGAACAATTACTTTGTGCTAGGTGGCTCACGACGCAGAGTTCAAGAAGGCAAAGGAAGGACAGATGTCGAAGGCTGCGAAGATGACAGAAGCACATGGCCAGATGCTGAATACGCTATTGCAGATGCGGGGCAGTGGTGTCTTGTTTGCATCAAGAAAGGTTTTTGAGAGTGAGTTTTGCCTTGGCGATTACAGTTTGCATTTCTAGTGATGTGCTTTTGTCGGGAAAGTAGACACCAGATTCGATTGCAGGGCAAACCTTGGAAGGGGCTGCTGCCTCAGCTGCCACGAGCCGCGACCGCACCGAACTACCTCCAACTGTGCCCGACCAACGAGAAGGTGCAGCCAATGATAATGATAAGAAATTGCTAGGAAAGCCGATTGATGAAGCAGGTGCGGCCAAGTCAACAAAGACTCATGCAGAGCGAAAGCACTGCGACCCAAAAAAAGTAGGCGTGGCTGCAGCGAAAAAAACTGCACCGAAGGTCGCAAAGAAACCAAAGCAAGTAAGCACACAGCGGGGAAAGCACCAGCTCCATTCCAGTGCGGCCAGGAAGGTAGACGTGGCAGTGCCTTTGCGCCGGGTGCGCCGAAAAACATCACCAGGCTCCTTGAAGGAAGGCGCAATGTCAGGGGGCATGGCAGCAGAAGACATGGGAACGAAACCAACCGAGGACGATGATGGCGATATCTATCTTTTGCGGCTGTGGAAGCCTTCTCAGGGGAATCAAGATCCACGTGCAGTTTATGATGCAGTAAGACAGGAGGTAGCTACGCTGCTATCCGACAAGCCCACCTTGCCGGAACACTGTTGGAGAGCAGTCAATCCGCTGAAAGCATATGACTTACCTGATTTTCATTGTGCTTTTCGTACCTGCAGGTACGAGTGTCTAACGCAAAAGGAGCTGGCAGAACACATCACCAACCAGCACGCAGACGCCTTACAGAGTTTATCGACGCATTGGCGACCGCAAGTCTCTGAACCGAAAGCAACCCTGCAAGCGTATCACGAGATCTTAACCTGGCGCTGTCAACAACTGGCACCCATTGCCAATTGCTCTATTGACCGGCGATGCTTACGCAGACTGCGGCTGAACTTGCGCGGCAAACAAGTCGGTGCCGCAATTTGTTTTATTTGTGCCCGTAGGTACCCTTTCGTGCAAGATTTCCCAAATCAAGAAATTAGGTGGCAGCGCGCTTTTGACCAAGACACAGGGCAGTTTTTTGGGCAAAGTGCAGAAGATCTTGAAAAAATGCTAAGGGTTCCACACGTACCATGCCCGTTATGTCTCTACACTCCCGGCCGACACACAGATGAATTTGCAACCAGAACTGGAACAGTGGACGTGCAACATGTCTTGCCCTTCCTACACGATTCGTGTGGTTGCATGTCCCGAAGACAAAACTTGTTATAGGCGTTGTTCCCGGGAGTCTGTGTGCACGTGCTGTGAAGTTCCAATTTGTTTCTCTTGTTGGAAGTATGTGTATCGACAGAGGAGCAAACCACCAGCAGCATTAAGCAACGATATGCTCCTCGGACATCCACCGCGGGAGATCTATGCCGAAGAGTGCACCGTCTTAGAACTATTGTGTGCAAGTCCTTGCCTGACTGCTCTGACCTGTTTTAGCATTGAATGGCGTTACTTGCAAGATCGGAGTTTAGCTCAAGATGCATTTATGAATCGGCACCGCCTATGCGCTAAAGGCAATGCGACGACGTTTCCGTTGCCATGGGAAGACCTGCTGTCCGAATTCCACCGTTTAGACAACAACCTTGCATCAAACACGACTGCCTGCTTACCGCACGTAGGCAAAGCATTAAGTGACAAAATCGCTGTCATAATAAAACTAGGAGACAAGAAAGACAAAGCAGCGATGCGTCAACACATCATTCACCAAGCAATTGTGCGTCGTCGTGTCGTTGTGAGATTAATCGCAACAATGGTTGCGCGAAGCCACCCTGCTTATAAAGGAATAGATATGACACTCGTGGAAGCACGGGCGGAAATGCTACCAGAAAATGACGTTCCCGCCGAAATCATTGCCTTATTGGACAACGATGGGAGTCTGAATCATGTCTTGCGGCAAAAAGCAGCTACGCCCGTCAATGACCAAATGTCTGAAGAGCAAGCTAGTTGTGAGTTCGGACGTTTGCTGAAACCGAACGCTGTCGTTCTAGAGAAAACAACTGCTGGATGTCACGATCTAAATGCGCAACACGTGTCTGCACTGGAAGAAATCGTGACCCGCAGTCTACCAGCGTCCGCGCAGCCGCTTCCAGAAGTGACACTGTATACAGGCACCAAACTTTTGGATCAGTTTCAGCCGCTTTACTTTGCTTTAGCTTTTCCCTTTGTCTTCCCCTATGGCATTGGTTTGCCTGATGTGCCCCAGTGGAGCCAACGGAAACGGCTTCGACGTCACCCGGACGATCCGCACGTCGAGCTAAATACATGGGTCAAAGTCATGGCGCGACGCATCGAGGCGCAAGTCAGTCGTGATTGGGTTTGTGGCTTTACGTCGTGGAACCTGCTTTTTCGATCAGCCTTGAATCTGTCCCGGACAACCGATGCATACTCGCGCAGTTTTTACGATGAAGAGACGCAAGAATGGGTGCAGCCAACTGGAAAGCATGTGGAGCAAGCAGCACAACAGCTGTTGGTAGCTCTGAAGGGATCTTATATAGATGTTACAGGTCAACCGCGTCCAGTCAAAGGAGATGTTTCCAAACTCAAATATGTGCAAGGCCTGAAACCGATGGCGCGGAAATTGCTCACGAACATGCGACACACAGCGCAAGGGTTACCAGGGACCCAAGAAGCGCGAAAAAGAATGCGATTCGAAATCCAGGCGATGCGAATTCGGTATGGAGTACCATTGTTTGTCACCTATACGCCAGATGAAGCACATCAGCTGCTCTTTGTTCGCATGACACGCGTTCAAGCATCTGATCCGGTACGCGCTGCATCTGTCGCGCAAGATTTCCCAGCCGGCGACATGTTTTTCCCTGACCTCGGCAAAACAAGTGCGGGGACACCTGGGCCATTTGAATATGAATTCACGTTACCAATGTCTTGGGCAGAGCGTCGGGAAGTTCTAGCAAGGGATCCTCTAGCTGCAGTGGATGGTTTTCGCGCGCTCACACATTTAATGTTGAAGCACCTTTTTGGTGTGCGTATTTGTCCGTTTTGTCCTGATTGCAATCGCTTCCCTGGATTAGAGCCGTGTCAAGACCTACGCGGAAGCAATGCAGAGACAAGCGGCGGAATTTTTGGGCGCGTAGATGCAGTCTACATTTCCTTAGAGGCGCAAAAGAGCACAGGTGGCCAGCACGGGCACATGCAAGTTTTCGTTCAATGCCTACACCAGCATACCTCATTGGCAGACATTTTTAAATTGTCAGCTTCACGCCTGGACGCTTTGCGTCGCGAATACGAAGCATACAACGCCCACGTGTGCCACGCAAGCTATGCGGGTCAGTCGTCCGCTGGTATGGAGGTGCGAATTGTGGATGCTGAAGCGTCGTGGCCGTCGCATGAGCATGATACTACTATGACCGCGTTGCCCGACTATGTTTTGCGTCGTGCTACGGCAGCAGACGATCTAGAAGCAGAGGCGACCGAATGGCAAAAACAGTACTTAGAAAACGACGTCGTCCAATTGCAGCTTCTAAAGCAGCATCACTACCATCCATACAATGAAGTGACGCAAGCACGCGTTCCACTAGCAGGCTGCCAAAAAAGCGATCGGCCCGGATTGTGCAAGAGCGATTTTCCTCGCACCCAGTGGCTCTGCTCCGAAACAACCGTGTTATGCCCCTGCAAACTACAGTTGCATGGTATGCCTGTGGGCGGAAGGAAAAATCGCTTAGGAGCTTTGCATGGTCCTTGCGGCCACGAGTGGTTGAATGGTTGTGCGCCAGCAATGTTAGCTGGATTGCGCGGTGTCAATTGCGATGTCCAAGTCCCATATCGACTACCCTACGCATGTCCAACCTGCGGAGACACCCTTACGACGCAAGAACGTCACGAGATTTCACGTGCGGCGCAAAGGGCGCAAGATGCACAGACAGGGTATTGTGCCGATTATTGCTCCAAAAGTCAGCCTATGGGACACGGAGAAATCAAGGAATTTCAGAAAGGACATGAACAGTTGTATGCGCAACACGGTTGGAAATGTTTAGACGATGTGGGTAAGCGACATGCAAATCGATTTCTGAGTGATGCATACCTAAAAGGTGTAGTGCGTGGGCAAGTAGAATGCTGTAACTTGCGCGCGCATCACCGCGAACATGCAGTAGTTGCAGCTGAGCGCATTGCCACAACAACGTTTGAAAGTTTCCCTGGAGCTGCATTCGCCGAGTTCGTGGCTATGTATCACAGTGAAGCAGCGAGCGCGTCAGCAACCAAGCGCACCACTACAAAGTGGACACGCCGACAGGCCTCTGGCGACCGACATCTCGGTGCCGTCGACATCGTGCAAGTTTACGGTCACCGACCTGCTGCATCCGAAGTGTGGTGGTTGTCGCCGTACGAATTTGTTGCCGAATGGGCAGTCACGCTTGCCCGTGTGCCAACGACACAACGTGAATGGAATCACGAAGAGAAGTCAAGCTGGGATGTCACGTTGACACCAGCGGGTATTCAAGAAATGCAGCGACAAACGGACCCAGATAAGAAAATACAGTTGCAACCGGAACGCGATTACCAGCTGACAGTGCCATGGACACCCAATCGCATTGGTTTACAAGAGACCACCGCAACCAAACAGCTGCGACATCGTTGCTATCTCCAACGGCGTATTCGCCCATGTTGCCCGCACTTTGAGAATTCGCCCGTTCCTCTGCAGAAAGAAAGCCAACGAGAGGCCAACGCAAGATTGACGATAACCTATTTTCGAGCATGGACATTGCAAGCATCTATGGCGTCGGGAAACGTCCCATTTGTCGGTCGCTTGAAAGCGGCTGAAGCAACTTGGGTTGATGCATTGCGCATGTGGTTGACGCATCTCCCATGCGAAGAGACAAAACGGTACGTCGGTAACTTTCTTTCCGTGTATCGCGTACGCCCGAGCGGCGCAGAAGACGCAAATAGTGATGACAGTGGCGTGGATGAGCCATTGCTCGTCACTCCGACAACACTTCCCACCGCACTACAAACATCTTTTCGAAGAACGGGACAACAACGAGCGTCGCGCACCACGGACCTGCCAAAAGATGCCGACACCAGACTTCTTGCAAGTTACGAAGAAGCTGCGGCACGAGCGGTAACGACGTGGCAGCACTATTCCCGCTGCGTAGCGAATGACACCACAAGTAATCCGTTTGCAGCGCACGATCCGAAAGCGATTCGAAGAGGGTTGAAGGCTTTAGAGGGCAAACGCAACAATGCGAACGTAAAAATGACCCAGGACTCGCGGCCGAGCGTGTGTGAAATCGAAGCACGAGAGACAAGAGAGAAAGTCGACCAATTTTGCCAAGAGTTACGTCAGACAAAGCAATGCAACCCAGAGCAGCTATCCTTCATTGAAACCGTTTGTGCCCGGGTCAAGCACGAAGCAGCCACGGGGCAAGATCGCGGCGGGGCAGCCGAAACGAACACGGAGGCTCTTCGTTGGGCATT